CACCCGGGGGGTCCAGGACCAACCCCAACTCCCCAGACCTCATGTGGGGGGCCCCCCTGCCCGGGGGGGGGGGGGGGGGGGGGGGGTGCTCTGATGCCACCCAAAGCGCCATTGGTGCCACCTGTGGGATGATACATGGAGCCAGGGGGCACTCCAAAATCCCTCAAAACCCCCCAAACCCCCAAACCCCCTAAAATAGCCCCAAAACCCCGCAGGGGCCCTGGCTGAGCCTGAAATCTGCTATGTGCTGGATGCCATGCTCTTCCTCTACAGCCTCATCCTCATCGGCCTCTACGTCCGCCTCAGGGTGAGCCCCACGAACCCCCCTTTTTTTGGGGGGTCCCCAAACCTCCCCTCCTCCTCCTCCTCCTCCCCCCCCCCCCTTTTTTCCCCTTTTTCCCTTTTTTTTTTTTTCCTTTTTTTTTTTTTTTTTTTTTTTTTTTTTAATTTTTACTCTTTTCCCTTTTCCTTCATTTACTTTTACCATAGCAAAGGACAAATCAAATTTTGGGGGAAAGGTTGTGGGTTTTTTGTCTCTTGCAGCAATGATCAAGGGGGGGGTTTTGGGGTGCAGGGAGGGTTTGGGGGGGCTGTGGGGGATGGGGGTGTCCTGCTGTTCCCCCCCCATCCCCCCCAAATCCCCTTTCACTTTCTGTTCCCGGGCAGAAGGAGGAAAAGGCCTTTCATGCCATGAGTCACGCGGAGGAGTGGGGGCAGATTTTGGGGATTTTTGGGGGGGCAGGGGCTGTGCTGGGGAGGGGGCACATCCCTGGGGTTTGGGGGTTACCTCCGGAGCATTTACGGGCTGAGATCTGGGGTACTCACCCATTTATGTGCTGGGATTTGGGGTCCTCACCCATCTATGGGGTGAGATTTGGGGTGTCTCCCCATTTATGGGGTAAAATTTAGGGTGTTTGGGATTTGGGGTGTTCCCCCATGTCGCATTCCATTTTGTTTAAATGGTATGCCCTGTCTCACCCCTCCAAAATATATGGTATATCCTAAGCCTGTGGTCCTGCCCTGAACCATCCTGTATCTGTCATCCCATTGGCCCAATGTGATTCCGCGCCCACTTCAATTCCCCTCTTAAGCTGTGCTAGTGAAATCAGTGGCTCTCTTAGCCCTTCCTCTCTCTTAGCCTTTCCCCTCTCTTGCCCCTTCCCTCCCCTAGGCTTCCCCTCCTTCCCCATTCCCCCCTTTCCCTCAGTAACCATGCTGTTCCTGGGGATGGGACCCCAAATAAACCTTCATCTAATCAGCACCCTCAGAAGCCGTGTGGAGTCTCCTTACCTGCCTGCTGCTGCCAGCCAACTCCCAGCCTAGGGGGCCCTCCGGGGACTCCCCGGGGTGCCCCCACCGCAAAATGAACAACAACAAATGGCGCCCAACGCCTGGCAAGAGCACTGACAGCCCTGAGACAAAAATGGACTGTGCCAGCACAGCACAGATCCCCGCAGAACACCGCTTCCCCACCGCCCTCGGCACCGTGGGGTGGCCATGCGGGGCCGCAGCTGCGGCCCCAGGTGACCCCTCCACCACCGCGCAGAGGCCCCGGCCCACCACCACCATCCTGCCGCCGCCCCGGCCCACCGCTGCCAGCCCGCCACCATCAGCCCACCGCCCTGGCCCGCTGATGCCAGCCCACCGCCACCAGCCCACCGCCGCCCTGTCCCGCCGCCGCCGCGTGGAGCGCACCCGGCCCATGCCGCCAGCCCGCTGCTCCACGTGGTCGCCACGTGGCCGCTCGGAGCCACTGCTGCCGCTCGTCCGGAGCCGCCGCCGCATCAGGGCTGAGCCCACCGCCCCTGCCCGGAGGTGGCGGGGGGAGGGGGGCCGCAAAGCGGGCGGGCCGTGTGGATCGCCAAGCAAGTTCCCACATTCCTGCCCCCACATCCCCATCCCCAAAGTCATCCTACATCAGTCACAGTCCCACCAAGGTCCACTGTGGGTAACATGGACTGGCTCTGCTGGCCATGGGGACCTCAATGGACCCTGCAGCCCCCTGTGCCCCCTCCCTTCCCCATCCCCATCCCAGGGGTGTCAGGCCCGTGCCCAGGGCACTCACCTTGCAGGAGCAGTGCCACCTTCCTGGCCATCCCGGTGTCCCCAGCCATGAGCACTGGCTGTCACTCGCTGGCAGGGGTGGCCATCCCCTGGGTGGTGACTCTTTGGCCAAAGGGGAAGGAAGCGAGGTCAGGTCTTGCCCTCATGTGGAGGCGGCACCTGGTGTGGGCAGGGTGGCCACAAGCCAGGGGCAGGCTGTGGGCAGGGTGGGGGCAGCCTAAGGACAAGGCTGGGTGGCACACGTGGGACATGGAGTTGCCATGGGTGGGGGTTCAGTGCGTTTTGTGGAGGTAGGGATGGGTGTCCACGGGAATGGGGGGTCCCAGGAATGGTGTCTCTGGGAATGGGGGTCCTGAGGAGGGGGAGTCACTGGTAATGGGGGTCCCCAGGGCTGGGGGGACTCAGGGATGGAAGTCCCAGGGGAATGATGGCTAAAGTGATATGGGGTTACGGGATGGGGATGCTGGGGCTATGGGGGAATCAAGGTCCTGGAGGAAGGAGGGTTGTAGGGGATGGAATGTAGAAGAGGGTTCCTTGGGAATGGAGTCCTGGGCCATGGACATCCTGTACAATGTCAGTACTGGGATGGGGGTCCCAGGCAAGGTGGGACATAAGGAATGAGGTTCCCATGATTTGATTTCCAGATGAATGGGGGTCCCAGGGATGGGCAGTGTCTGGGTGGGCACAGGGGTCACAGCTCCTTCCCTGGGTGACTGAGATTTTGGGGTGACCCAGGGCCCAGCACAGCCCCCACAAGGTGCTGTTGGCCTGGGGGTCACCCCAGACAGATTCCGAGGTGCTCTGAGTCTGTGCCCCGTCATCTCCCAGGGGCTTTTTCCACTCTTTATTTTCATTTCCATCATTTTTCCCCTCAATTTCACAACCCCCCTGTTTGTGCCTTGATGATCCTGGGGAGCAGGTGAGCAGGGAACAGGTTGAGGGGACCCAGGGGAGGGGGAAAATGGGATGTGGGAATTGCAAGGAGGGCTGGGGAGGCTGTGGGGAATGGGGGTGTCAGGCTGTGCCCCCTCAACACTTTCTTTTTCCTGGACAAGAAGGAAGAGGTTTTTTGTGCTGTCACACGAGGGCAAGTTCTGTCCTGGGGGGCACATCCAGGGGGGTCCTGTACTGGGGGGATCCTGTCCCAGGGGGGAGACATGCTGGACAAGCGGGTCCTGTCCTAGAGGATGGAGGACCCAGGGGGTCCACACTTCTCCATTCTTGCACCTCCCCTGCAGGATTTGAGCCAGAAAGAGCAGCTGGGAAACGGAGCCCTGGGCAGGAAGGAGCCCTCAAACTCCTGATCCTTGAAGCCAGTGGCTATCCAAGGTGGGGCCCAGCCATGGCCCAGCCCCACTGCACAGGGATGGCCATTGGCCAGCCCTGCTCTGGCCAGCCCCAGGTGGCAGCCAGGATCTGAGGGTCCCCCCAGGTGGCTTGACTTTGATTCTGGCAGCTTCAGAGCTGCTGCAGAGGTGAGAATTCTGTGGGAAAAAAGGCCTGCCTGTGGTTTGCTCAGCCCTGCAGGAAGCACAAAACCCAAAGGGAGCCCAAGCAGTGGCTCTGTCAGGGCCTTTGATGGTTTTCAGAGCAGGGCAGCGGCAGCTGTGAGGGAACCCGTCTGGAAATGCAGCAATTGATCATTTGTCCCTTTGCCTAAGGGACTGAGAAAACCACAAAACAACTGCAAATCCCACAACAATCTGCTCAGGAACCTGACCTGGACCCTCCTCCTCCTCCCTGCCATGCCATGGATGGACAGTGGCCGGGTGCCCCACACTCACCACAGCCGCTCTCTCACTGCCCTCTGCACCTGGATGGGGAGAGAAAATTGAACAAAAGTTTCTTGGGTTGAGACAAGGACCAGAGATCATTCATCAAATCCTGCCATGGGTGAAACTACCTTGAAATTCGAGATATGAATTGAATTTATTGCTGACAAAATCAGAGCAGGATAAACAAACCCTGCAATACACCCTCCCCCTCTTATGAATAACTGTGTAGTCATTCGCTTTCACTATTATATTGATTTTTGCAAATTATTTTGATACAATACCATTTGTAATCTCTTTTATCTGTTTTAGATACACCTCAGTTTGTCAGCCTTTTTACCCTAACCCCTGTGTAGAATATATATTTTAGTGTGGTAAATATAGTATAGATTAGGCTCTCCCAAAATATCAAGATGGAGCATATGTGCTGTGTATTATAACATTAACTGTTGCAGAAGTAGCTAATGCCTTTATTTGTGTAACTAAGTGACAATGGTGAGAATAACTCAGATAATTTTGTGAAGTTACTAATGTTGATTTAATGTGCTGCTGGAGGATCTTATCCTTTTATTTGTGATTGGATAATTGAGTGAACATAACATGTATGATAAGATAACATTGAAAAGAAGCAAGTAAATAAACATCAAAAGAAAGACTGCAAAGAGAATTTTACCACTGGCCCTTCAGTTATCAAGGAATGTCAGAGCACATAACAGGAGGGCCCTGTGAAGACATAAAACACATGAATTTTATTTGCAATACGGCTTGTAATTCATGAAAGTGTATCAAGGGTCAAACCAAGCAAAAGGATTCCCACAACATGTAAACTGGAAAGAATGTTCGGATATGTATAACCCTCCTGAGTAGGTATTTAACCAATACAATGAAAAGGTATGTAAGAACAATTGTTGTAGTTAACCATGTGCCTCTGGCAGATGCCAAGCACCTAGCACCCTGTTTACTGTCCCTTTTATCCCTTATTAAACATTTACAAATTTTAACAAGTGAGGCTTGTTTCTCACACACTTTAACCAAAAAGCTGCATTTTGGAAAAAACGTCTTGTGCCACCCCTGGCACTGGGAGGGGAAAGGATGAGCCCCGTGGGGTGCTGTGAAGAAGAAGAAAGGGACCCCGGAGGGGAATCGATGCCCCTCAGTGCTGCCAGTGCCCCCCAGTGTCACAGCACGTCATCGTAGTCACAGGGGTCCCGCTGTCCCTCGTAGGGTCCCGACAGCTCTGCATTGGTCACTTGTGGATCCCGAGGTGGGGCAGGGCCAGGGTACAACTGTGGGTGTCCTGAGAGTGACACCGGTTGTGGGGACCTGAGTGGGGGGTGACACCCGTGGGTAAAGTGTCTTTGTCCCCACCCCCACTCACCCCCTGCCCACTCGGTGCCCACAATGTGGGGGTCCAGCACTGCCCCCTCCTCCAGGGGAGTCCTGTGGGAATAAGGGGGGGTCTGGAGGGTGTCTGGGGAGGGGGAAAGGGGAGTCCTGGCCTGAGACTCCCTCTCACCTGTCCTGGGGCTCCCTGGCAGCTGCAAAGAAAAGGGGAGGGGGTGACCGTGGGGACCCCGGGACCCCTGAACGTACCTGGGACCTCATCAGATTCAACCACCCCAAATCCCCACTGCAGCCCTGATTACAACCCCACACTGTATCCCTGATCTCTGCCCCCACTCTGGGTGCTTCCCCTCACTCCAGGACCCCCCTTGCCCCCCACTGTTACCCACCCCAGCGGTGCCACCAGTGACAGCCCCCGATGACAGCCAGGAGCAGGAGAAGGAACAGGAGGGTCCTGCCAACATTCACAGCCACTGCTGGGAACAGAGGGGGACACACCGGGGTCACCATGAGCCCCGGGGGTCCTGAATACCCCGATGACCCCATATGACCCACCTGTGACCCAGAGTGAGCCAGGTGTCACCTCCAGGGCCAGCTCTGGGCTGAGTGCCCGGAACACGCGGTGCCCATCCTGTCCCAGCTGGTTGGTGGCCACGCACTGGTAGGTGCCCGAATGTCCCACACTGATGTCCCCAAGTTCCAGGAGGGGACCTCGGGCCACCTCCTGCCCATTGTGCAGCCAGGTGAAGGTGACAGGGTCTGAGCCCACCTGCACCAAGCAGCGCAGGGTCACGGGGTCACCTGCATGCACCTGGTGTGCCAGGGGACTGAGGGTGATGGTGGCATTGGCCACGGGCACTGTGGGGACACAGACAGGGCTGAGGCCACAGGGAGGAGCTGGCAGCTGGCAGGCAGGAGGATAGGGACGGGGGCGATGAGTGAAATGGGGATGTTGGGGATGAGGTCACACCGTGGAGGGGTGAGGGGACAAGGGGAGTGGTAGAAGGACACAAGAAAGAAGTCTGGGGGACATGCACATACCCAGGCAGTCCTGTCCCAGCTGGTTGGTGGCCACGCACTGGTAGGTGCCCGAATGTCCCACACTGATGTCCCCAAGTTCCAGGAGGGGACCTCGGGCCACCTCCTGCCCATTGTGCAGCCAGGTGAAGGTGACAGGGTCTGAGCCCACCTGCACCAAGCAGCGCAGGGTCACGGGCTCACCTGCACCTGCATGCACCTGGTCTGCCAGGGGACTGAGGGTGATGGTGGCATTGGCCACGGGCACTGTGGGGACACAGACAGGGCTGAGGCCACAGGGAGGAGCTGGCAGCTGGCAGGCAGGAGGATAGGGACGGGGGCGATGAGTGAAATGGGGATGTTGGGGATGAGGTCACACCGTGGAGGGGTGAGGGGACAAGGGGAGTGGTAGAAGGACACAAGAAAGAAGTCTGGGGGACATGCACATACCCAGGCAGGGGACCCGAGGGGTCTCTGGGGGCTCCCCATGGCCATCCCCGCACTCACTGCGCACCGTGATGTGGAGCCGGGCGCTGCTCTTCCATATGGACCCCCCTTAGAGTGCACCTGGCAGCTGTAATTCCTCGAGTGGGAGACTCCCATAGCAGGCACCAGCAGCTGTGGGGACCCCTACGGGCCCCCCACCACCTGCCCATCCCGGTAGAACATGTGCAGGAGGGGGGCTCAGGGCCACAGGGGGCTGGGGGTGCTGAGGCAGCTGAAAGTCAGGGGGGACCCCTCAATGGGCTCGGGGAAACCCTCCAGCACTGGCAGAGGGAAGAGCTCAGGGAAGGAGAGGGGAGGTGAGGATTGTGACTCTCAGTCCGCTGGGATGTGGCTTTGGGGTGTCAGGAGATTGGAGTTCTAGCCATAGGGGGTGCTCACCATGCCCTGTCACTGTCACTGTCACAGCTGCTGACCGTAATGGCCAGGACTTCACCCAGGCCTCACAGCAGTAGCGGCCACTGTGGTTCAGCTGCAGAGGGGACAGGGACAGCTCGGTGGTATTGACAGACTCCGTCAGATTATTCTCATCCTGGTAAAATCGCACCCTGGTGACCATGATGTTCCACCAGCCCCGGCAGCGCAGTGTCACTGTGTCCCCCTCCAGCAGTGCCCCTGCTGGCACCTGCAGCACCAGCTCATCTGTGGGACAGGAGGGTCCCTTCTCACTGAGTGGCTCAGGACAGGTCCGAGGCATGTCCCCCTGGCACCGGGGACATCTGGGTGCACTGGGGTGCACTGGGATGTCCCTGTCTCTTGTGCAGAGGCTCTCACCACACGAGGGGTGTGAGGCCGCCCACGGTGTGGAGCACACCCAGAACTGTCAGGGGCCACCCTGATTGCTTAAGATCCCAACTCACCGTCTAGGACTGTCACAGGGGGGCTGAGCCCAGTGCCGGGTCTGTCACACATGTAGGTGCCACTCTCGGTGACAACAAGTATGTCACGTCTCTGCCGCCCCCAGTGCTGCCCATCCTTGTACCAGGTGGTGGCACCAGCTCTCCCCAAGCCCTGGCAGGTCAGTGTCACCCGGTCCCACAGCACCGCTGGCCTCCAGGGGGGCTCCACGAGGAGCTGGGTGATCTGGGCGCCTGCGGGTGACAGGGGACACCAGCCTGCCAGGGCCACCTTCGGTCTGGGGACAGCAGGGTGGGGACATGGCATCCCCCGAGGACTCACCAGTGAGGCCGAGGGTCTGGGCTGGAAGGGAGAAGGGACAGGGCTGGGTGGAGGTGGCACCACAGGGACAGAGGCACAGGGACATGGGGTGTGGGGCTGTCCCCAAACTGTCCTTGTGTGCCATGGACTCCTTGGGGACAGAGACAATGCATCCACCCCCATGCTCAGGCAGGATGCAGGGTCACTGTGGCCACCCCTGAACTGGGGACTCCATGGCCACCCCGTGCTGGAACAGGTCACCCCCACCAGCCCCACGATGCCTCCCCAAATCCTTGTCCCGCCATTTTTGTCCCCCTTCCCCTGTCCTCACAGCAACCCCACAACCCCGGTCACTTCATGCTTTGTTTCTGCTGGCATTGGGGACCTCAGGAGACTCCACAGCCCCCCTGTGCCCCCTCCCCTCCCCATCCCAGGGCTGTCAGGCCCATGCCCGGGGAACTCACCCCACAGGAGCAGCGCCACCTTCCCGGCCATCCCGGTGTCCCCAGCCATGAGGACTGGCTGTCACTCGCTGCCAGGGGTGGCTGTCCCTTCGCTGGTGGCTCTTTCGTCAAAGGGGCAGGAAGAGAGGTCAGGTCTCATCCCCATGCGTAGGTGGCCCTTGATGGGGGCAGGGCGGCCACAAGCTGGGGACAGGCTGTGGGCAGGGTGGGGACAGGATGGGGACAAGTTTGGGTGGCTCATGGTAGGACATGGGGTTGCCATGGGTGGGGGTTCGGTGGGATTTTAGGAGCCAGGGATGGGTGCCTGGCAATGGGGGCTCCTGAAGAGGGGGAGTAACCAGGGATGGGGATGCCATGGGTATGGGGGTCCCCAGGGCTGGGGAGATTCAGAGATGGGAGTGCCAAGGGGACGTGCGCTCCAGGGATTTGGGGTCATGGGATGGGGATGCTGAGGATATGGGGGGGTTCCGTGGGAATGGGGTCCTGGGCCATGGAGATCCTTGGGAATGTCAGTACTGGGATGGGGGTCCCAGGGATGGGGGGATATAAGCAATGGGGTTCCCATGGTTGGGGTCCCTGGGGAATGGGGGTGGCAGGGATGGGCAGTGGCTGGATGGGCCCTTGGGTCTCAGCTCCTTCCCTGGGTGTTTCAGATTTTGTGGTGACCCAGAGCCCAGCAAAGTCCCCCCAGGGTGCTAGTGATTTGGGAGGGTCATCCCCGGAAGATTCTTGAGGGTCTGGGTTTATGTCCCCCATCCCCAAGGGGCTTTTTCCTTTCTTCATTTCTATTTCCATCATTTTTTCCCTCAATTTCACAACCCCCCTGTTTGTGCCTTGATGATCCTGGGGAGCAGGTGAGCAGGGAACAGGCTGGGGGAAGCCCAGAGTGGGGGAAGCAGTGGTGAGGGGTCTGCAGGGAGGGATGGGCAGGCTGTGGGGGATGGGGTGTCAAGCTGTGCCCCCCAACACTTTCTCTCTCCTTCAGCAGAAGGAAGTGGCCTTTTGTGCTGAGTGTCACACAGGTGGGCGGGTTCTGTCCTGAGGGGGCACATCCAGGGGGGTCCTATCCTGGGGGATGGCAGATCCCAGCAGGTCCAGAATTCTCCATTCTTGCTCCTCCCCAGCAGGATTTGAGCCAGCAAGAGCAGCTGGGGAATGGAGCCCTGGGCAGGAAGGAGCCCCCAAACTCCTGATCCTTAAAGCCAGTGGCCATCCAAGGTGGGGCCCAGCCACGGCCCAGCCCCAGCACTGCTCTGGCCAGACCCAGGTGGCAGCAAGGACCTGAGGGTCCCCCCTGCCCCCTTGGCTTTGATTCTGGCAGCTTTAGAGCTACTGCAGAGGTGAGAATTCTGTGGTAGAAAAAACCCTGCCTGTGGTTTGCTCAGCCCTGCAGGAAGCACAAAACCCAAAGGGAGCCCAAGCAGTGGCTCTGCGAGGGCCTTTGATGGTTTTCAGAGCAGGGCTGGCTGGAAACCCCCCCTGCAAGGGCAGCTGTGGGGGAACCAGTCCGGAAATGCAGCAATTGATCATTTTTTCCTCTTCGTAAGGGACTGAGAGAACCACAAAAACCCTGCAAAGACATCAACAATCTGCTCAACAACCCAACTTTGACCCTCCTTCTTGAACAAAACCTGCAGCCTTCTAGAACCTCATGGAAAGAATGTTTGGGTTCTGGATATGGCCACCAGACAAGAGGGAAAAGTGTGGAAATACCGAGCAGTGACTCTGCCACGCGGCCATGGTGGGGCTGTGGAGAGTGACCCTGTCTGGATTCCAGGTGTCCCCAAAGCTGCTCCATACCTGCCCTCCTCACCTGAGTGAAAGGATGAGCGTTTGCAGGAATTGTGGTGTAAAGCCACCAGAGAGGCTTTTATGGACCCAAGATGTGCCTGGCGTCAGGCGCTGCCTTCCATCCATTTGGGATCATGGAGAGAGGTCACAGGTGTTGTGCAGGGCACGTGCCTGGACTCGGACACTGCTATGCTGCCACTGGGCACTAGGATCCAACCTGCTGCCTTCGAGGCTTCTGCCCGCTGCCGGTGGTGGTGGCAGGACCAAGTGGTGCCCGTGAGTTTGCAAAAGGAGCAATTTCTCCTCCTCCCTCTGGTCTGAGGCCACCATGGTCCCTGAGGGGATCGAGCTCGACCGGGGCGTCCCCTGCTGGCCGGGAGTGCTCCCTGCAGCGCCCCCTGCTGGCCGGGAGTGCTCCCTGCAGCTCCCCCTGCTGGCTGGGAGTGCTCCCTGCAGCGCCCCCTGCTGGCTGGGAGTGCTCCCTGCAGCGCCCCCTGCCGGCCGGGAGTGCTCCCTGCAGCTCCCCCTGCTGGCTGGGAGTGCTCCCTGCAGCTCCCCCTGCTGGCCACAAGTGCTCCCTGCAGCGCCCCCTGCTGGCCACAGTTATAACTGCCATAAAATAAACAGCGCTGAGCAGGAGGGAAAGTTCTGGGTTTGTGTTGTTTGCTCTGTTCTGGTTTATAAATTTCCTAGGAAAGAGCTGTTATTCTTTTTCCTACACTTCCACCTGGAAGCCCCATAATTTTTGAAATTAAAAAAGTTTTTGTCACGGGTCTTCTTTCTATTCCAGAACTTTCCCACTTTCTTTGACAGATATTTCTCATTTAAACGAGTTGCCAACTCCTGGGTTCCAGTACGGATGGGACAGACACCCCAAGAGGAGACAGGATCAGGGACTTGGCCACCTCATGCTCTGCCTTTAAAGCCAGGTGGGCCACCAAGGGCCCTCTCCCCAGGTGACAGTTCTGGTCACCCGGCCACTCAAGAGCTGGTTTGGTAGACCATCACACTGTCCCCACTGTACCACGGCTGACAGACTGATGGATAGATGGGGCCCTGTCTCACGAAAAGCAAGGCCTGACACACACCTGCCACACACAGGTGTTCCAAAATGTCTCCAGACATCAACCTTTTCCTGTCTCTGACATCCCATCCTGTGCCATGGCCTGATCCCAACTGCCCTGGAAAAGGGTGATGCTCTGGCACCCCCACAGGGCCTTGGTGACATTCTTGTGTGGGGAACATGGCAGAGGAGGGGTTTGGGACAGGGGACAAAAGAATCAAGAGCCTCCTGAAGGCCACTTTGGCCATTGGAGCAGTGAAGGTCCAGGGCCCTGCCAGGTTCCTCTGGTGGAGAAAACGTGCTGGGGGAAATGTCTGCGGTTTGTTCCTTGTTAGGGGCTTTCTCAGGAAATCATTCCTTTTGTGACCATTTGGACACTGAACCTTGTTGCTGTTGCTGTTGGTTTTATTCTGTCTCATTGCTGTTTCAGGAAATTGTTCTTCTCTCAGCCCTTTGGGATCTTTGTGCCTCCACAGGGAGGGAGAGGGGCAGTTTTTTAGTGGCAGCACACACACATGTGGGTGCCCATGGGTGGGGACTCCCAGTGCCACCAGTTCCCCCCAGT